GAAAGCCTTCTCACGGGGATGGATCCGACATTACGGACCTCCAGAGGTCCTTGTATCCGACGGCGGGAAGGAATTCGAGGCTGAGTTTAGCAGACACTTGGAGCAACAAGGGGTGTTCCAGCACACCACCGACGCGGACAGCCCTTGGCAAAACGGGAAGACAGAGCGGGCGGGTCAATGGTTGAAGGAGCGGCTCCAGCGGTTCGTGGACGATACCATCCTGGAGGGACCCGACGACCTAGAGCTGGCGGCCTGCGAATTGGCTGCCTGGCGGAATCGTTTCCTGAATCGAGGCGGGTATTCACCACTACAGCTAGTATTTGGGCAAAACCCCAGGGTACCACAGGAGTTGCTCAGCGAGGACCCGTTAGACCACATAGGACTTCACGATCTCGAGGAACCGAGTGCCGATCTTGACAGTGCGGCGGCGGCTTTCCGACATCAACACGAGATCCGGTCTCGTGCCCGACAGCTTGCGATGGAAGGAGATGCGCGTAGGAAGTTGCAGCATGCGTTGGGATCAGCGTGGCACAGGGATAGGACCTACCGACCAGGGGATTGGGTATACATCTGGAGGCGAGCGCCCAAGACAGGGCGCAAACCATACGGTTTGCAACGGGATCGGTGGGTTGGGCCAGGTGCAGTGATATTTCATCATGGAACAACAGTGTGGGTGTGTGTGCGCAGTCGTTTGTGGAAATGCAGTTGTGAACAGATACGACCTGCTACGCAGTCAGAGTCCCTCGGGGCCGAGCTTATCCAGACCACGTGCTATCGGGACGTCTTGGACGAGCAGCTTGCTAAGGGGATCTCGGGTGGGGCTCTAGACGTTGCTCAAGAGGGACCACCACCACCAGAGGCCACCATGACTCCCATCAGCTCCGAGGGTAACGCGTCTCCAGTGACCATAGCACCAGCAGGCTCCAACGAGGTTCCAGGCCACCAAGGGGGGTCTCGGGACTCCAACATGGGCTCCAACAACATCGAGGCTCCAGAGGTCCCCACTCCAGCTCCCGACTCCAGCTCCCACTCCACTCCAGCTCCGACTCCGGCTATCGCAGATACTGTGGCTCAAGTAGCTGCTGAGCCTCCTGCTCCCCCACCGGGACTGCGACCTCCGACCCAGGCTGCCGGCGCGAGGCCTAGACCGCGACTCGTCTGGGCTCCCGGTCCAGTGACTCGTCTGATACCTGTGCCAGAGCACGAGGAGTCAGATCCTGCTCCAGCGGACCCTGCAGGAGCTCTCGGACAGGGCGGTGCTGTCTCAGCCGCAGCCAGACCTCAGAGGGAGCCAGCCGCCGAGCCAACACCTCCCGTGTCTCAGACTGGCTCGACACCTGCCGGATCGGAGACAGGCTCACAGGCGGTGGCCACAGCTGGCGGCTCGCGGGCATCGTCGAGACGACCTTCTCTGTCTGAGGACGACCTGGAGTTCAAGCGAGCCAGGCTGGATCCTGACACACTCCGGTCCGCGACCGGAGGGGCTCCTACCGACGAACAGCTCAGGGGTTCTGGCCTACCGACACCCATGGAGCTCCTGCCAAGGGCCGAGGGTCGGGTTCGCACCCAAATCCAGGAGTTCGAGAACTGGCGGTCTCAGCAGAGCAGTGCTGCAGTCTCTTCTCAGGCCGGGCCCCTGGAGACGGGGTCGGAGACCCCGATGGACGAGACCGGCTTCAATGCTCTCGAGGGCTACTGCGAGGTGCTGGACTCTTGGTTCGAGGACTCCGGCTGGAGCGGGGACGTCGAGACCTACATGAACGGCCGGAAGGATCTGATCTTCGAGTGCTCAGAGGACAGCGCCGGGCAGTGGTCTCTGCTCTCCTCACGCGGTGGGGAGGTCAAGCTCAAGGATCTCTCGGCCCAGGAGCTCGAGGATTTCCGACGATCGGACGAGGCCGAGTGGGGCGTACTCAACAAGCCTAATGTGCTGCGGATCCTCAGCAAGGAGGAGTCCACTCATGTGCTTCGCACCCGGCCAGAGCGGGTGCTATCGTCCAGAATGGTACGCCGATGGAAGGCCCAGGAGGGTACGTTCAGTGCCCCAAAGGCCAAGAGCAGGTGGTGCGTGCACGGTTTTGCAGATCCTGACACTGAGCATCTAGTGACATATTCTCCGACGCCTCAGTCTGAGGCCATGATGCTTTTCGGGCTGGTACTCTTAGGCCATGGCATGGACCAGAGCATCGTGGACTGCAAGAACGCCTTCAGTCAGTCGAGGCGACTCCGCAGGGCTGGTGGACCCATCTATGTGGCTCCCTGTGAGGGGCTCACTGGCATTCACGTTCCCGACGGGTGCCTGATTGAGCTACATGTCGCCGTCTATGGTCTAGACGACGCCCCTTGGGAATGGCACGCCACGATCACCTCCTACCTACGCGACCTTGGCTTCAAGAAGTTGCTGATGGAGCCATGCTACTGGACTCTCCGGGAACAGGGCGCCCTGAAGGCTCAGGTCCTGATAGAGGTGGACGATCTTTGGCTGGGTACAGTTACCTCTCACACGAAGTGGTTGGCCGACTCTCTCAAGGCCAGGTTCACTTTCGGCAAGTGGAGGGGCGACGAGGCCGAGTTTGCAGGACGCCGCATCAGGAAGGAGGCTCACCGCATTCGCCTGGACCAGGAGAAATATATATTGGAGGAGATTCATCCGATTGTCTTGGAGAAGGGCCGCCGCTCCAAGAGACAAGAGCCTCTGAGCCGCTCAGAGTTCGAGCAGCTCCGATCCGGCATCTACCGGATCAACTGGGTGGCGAAGGAGACCCGTCCCGAGGTGGCGGGCACAGCTTCCATACTCGCCAGCAAGCTGGAGCAGGCGGTGGTGGAGGACATCGTAGTTTTCAATCGGGCCGTCCAGATGCTGCGTGACACCGCCTCGCAGTACCTGACCATCTGGCGCCACGACCTATCGCAGGTGGTGAGCTTTACTTTGAGCGACGCGGCGGGGATCGGCACGGACTCACCCATACAGTGTGCTTGGGCTGTAGGAGTGGCTGACCCTCAGCTGGCCGCCGGACTGACCAGCAAGGTGACGATACTTTCCTGGAGATCCTCCAAGATGCGTCGAGCTGCCAACTCATCCCTGGCCGGTGAGGCCAACTCTCTCTGCCAGTCTCTTGGAGAAGCCGACTGGATCCAGCTGCTACTTCGTGACGCTTGCTTTGGGGACGTTCCTACAGCCGACTGGCGACAGCACGCTGGTCCCTACGTGTCGGTGCTACGTGACAACTGCGAGCTGCACCGACCCTTGCCTGGAGTTCATGCCACGGACGCCAAGTCCATCTTCGACTGTCTCTGCAAGAACTGTGCTGGCCGGAAGGAGGACCGCAGGACTTCCGTGGACCTCGCAATTGCTCGAGATTCTTTCTCCCAGCGAGGCTCGTGCGTGAAGTGGTTTCCTCACCTGCTCAACCCCACTGATGTGATGACCAAGGCTGATGTGTCCAAGGGGTCCGATGCCATGGGCCACATGATCCGCCGTGGGACTTTGACGTTGAGTGATGCTGAGTCGGAGAGGGCTCACCTCTTGGCTGGTGGTGAGAAGGGCCGGCGCAGTCGAGAGGCCAGCCGCCGCTATCTACAGGATCGCGAGCGGCGGCTCGAGGAGTCAGGTCGACAGTAAGTGGGGGGAGCTGTGGAATCATATGGCTCCCTCTCGTCCTGACTATCCGTGCCTTTCTGCATTTGTGTCTGTTGTATGCTTGCTTGTGCACAGCGCCGTGACTGACGCTTTGGCTCAAGCCGTTCTGTGTGCGTTGAGTGCAAAGGCATCCCATTCAGTACATCTTGCGATGGCCGCCTGAACCCGTCGTGCCCACAATCATCATAAGCATCATCATCAATATCAATATCATCATCAGCATCATCATCACCAGCATCATCATCAGTATCATCATTCTCGTCATTCTCATCATTCTCATCATTATCATCATTCTCTCTCATCGGCATCGGCATTATCATCATCATCTCATAGTTGTCGGTATTACCATCAACATCATCAGCAGCAGCATCATCATCAGCATCAGCATCAGCATCATCATCATCATCATCATCATCACCATCATCACCATCAGCATTATCCTCAGCAGCAGCATCATCATCAGCATCAGCATCATCATCAGCATCGTCATCATCATCATCATCATCATCATCAGCATCATCAGTCAATCAATTATCATCACTCATCCTCATCCTCATCATCATCATCAGCAGCAGCATCATCAGCAGCATCAGCATCATCATCATCATCACCATCATCAGCATCATCATTGTCATCGGCATCATCCGCATCATCAGCACCATCATCGTCATCATCGTCATAATCGTCATCATCGTCATCATCAGCAGTACCATCGTCGTTGTCGGCATCGTCGGCATCGTCATCATCGTCATCATCGTCACCGTCATCATCATCAGCAGCATCAACAGCATCATCAGCATCATCATCAGCATCATTGTCTTCGACATCGTCATCATCATCAGCAGCATGATCAGCATCACCATCGTCATTGCGCATAACGCTCAGCATCATCATCAGCATCTTTAGCATCATCGGCAGCATCAGAATCATCATAATCACTATCAGCATCAGCATCCCCATCATCATGATCATCATCATCTCCATCAGCATCAGCATCAGCATCATCAGCAGCAGCAGCATCAGCATCAGCACCACCACCACCATCATTACAATAATCATCATCATCATCACCATCATCATGATCATAATCATCAGCATCGGTATTGTTAGTTTGGCAGTACTGTTATTATTGGTGTTAGTACCGGTCTTCCATTATTATCACAATCAGTACCCTCGTCGTCATCATCAGTATCATCACCCTCATCACCTCTCTTCCCTTACCCTCCGCCCCCTCCTCCTTCTCCTCCTCCTCCTCATCCTCCTCATCCTGCTCCTCCTCCTCATCCTCCTCATCCTGCTCCCTCTCCTCCTCGTACTCATCACCAGCATCCTCCCCATCAGCATTCGACCCCCCGCTCTCCGCAAGCTGGAAAGCGACGCGAAATCGCCCTGGACCTGAGCACGTGACCTCTGGGCGGTCGAGGGGAAAGTGCGAGATAAGGCGGGACACAAAATACGAACAGGCGACGGGGAAAATAATCACAGCGACGATGAGCAAGATACGACTCCTTGTCGTCGACATCCTCCACCCCCTCCTCCTTTACAGTCCCTCCATCTGCTCCGCCCCCCCCCTCCTCCTGCACCGTCTCCCCGTCTGCTCCGCCTCCTCACCCTCCCTCCTCCTCCTCCTCCTCCTCCTCCTCCTCCTCCTCCTCCTCCTCCTACTCCTCCTCCTCCTCCTCCTCCTCCTCCTCTTCTTCCCCTTCCTAATAGACGCGCGGCACTGCTCCAGAAAAGGAGGAAGGAGCAGGAGAGGGCAGACCTGAAAGGGAAGAAAAGACGAGGATGCGGAGCGGGAGAACGACTTCGACAATGGCGAGATGGACGAGGGGGCGGGCGGGAGAGCAGGATCAAGAACCAGTGGAAGTAAAGGGAGGACGACGACGACAACGACGAGGACGGAGAGGAGGAGAAGGAGGAGGAGGAGCAGGAAAGCGGTTGGATCCGTCGCTGAAGCCCGCTCAACGTAAAGAAAAGTACAGCGGGAGGGGACGGCGGAGACGAGGAGAGAAAGAATGGCGGAGAGGACTGAGGACTGAGGGCGAGGTGGAGGATGGCAGAGCAGGAGGAAGGCTCAGGAAGGCGGAAGAGTACAGGGGAGCGGAGAGGCGGAGAGTTGGCGGCGAGCGAGGGGGGGAAGTGAGAAGGAGAAGGCCTTCTCAGCAGAAGGCGGCGGGACTTCTCAGAAGCCCTCGCGCCTTCTGACAAGTTTGTTCTGCCTTCGGGGAAGGTTTAGAAAACTTCTCAGAAGGCTGGGGGACGTCCGAGCCTTCTGAGAAGGCCCGCCCCTTCTCACTTCCCCCCCTCGCTCGCCGCCGAGAGAGGGATGGGGGATGCAAGGGGGAAAGTGGAGGAGGAGGCACGATGACGAAGCACGACGATGATGCAGAGGATCATGGCAAGGAACGTGCGAGAGGCTGCAGAGGAGCATAGCGGGGCTGGCGGCTGACGATGCAGAGGAACATAGCAAGACTGGCAGGCCAGGAAGAGCAGCAGCAGGAGCAAAAGCGGCTGCAAGGACCCAAATGAATGGATGATTGGCCTCCATGATGTTGGCATTGTATAATCGGTTGGCATCTCCACTGGGGATGCATCCGCCATGCACATGATTACGAAGATCGAGCATTCGTGTCATCCTGAAAGGTTTGCCGTCAGCTTGTCATGTTTAGTTGTCCTGCCATGTTTAAACCTCTGGGACGGATCGTACCACAAGGGGAGAGACGTGGCGTAGCCAGGACGATCCGATCGCTCATCCAATTGATCTGCATCCTCTTTCTTCCTCCAGCCAATCCTCTACTCCACTGTCATCATCATGTGCCTCCGCACCTGATCGTCAGCCATCGCCCGCTTCTTCCACATCATGACCCTGGCCCGCACCACCAACCACAACGTTGCCATCACCCGTACTGCATGAGCGTCACCATCATGCTCGTAGACGTCGCATCGCCGACCACTTCTACGAAACATCATCGCCACTCCAGCATACCCCCCTCCCCTTCGCGCGCGTCCTCCGCCCGCAGAGTCCAGAGAATGTGTTGGCGTGGCTGCGAGGACCTCTGGACAGCAGCGCCTGCGAGAAGCACGGCGGTCGCAAGCTCGACCGCTGCAGCCGAGCGGCGACAGACGTGCCCAATCACTGCTGGCCGTCACTTCCGACACTCTCCCTCGGGCGCATCGCCCGCACGAGGGGGAGGAGGAGGAGGAGGAGGAGGAGGAGGAGGAGGAGGAGGAGGAGGAGGAGGAGGAGGAGGAGCAGGAGGAGCAGGAGAGGGAGGGGGAGGGGGAGGGGGAGGGGGATGGGGGAGGGGGAGGGGCCCTGCACACGGCCCTGCCCGGACTGGCAGGCCGCGCCGCGCCCTGCCCCCCTGCCGACACGCAACGTGCGCTCCGCGCTGGAAAGGCATGCGCTGCAGCGGCCCCTGCGCAGGAGATGCTACTCCAGATTTCGTAATACAAGGGAGGGGGTCTGGACCCTACAAGAAAAGCCATTTCAGACTCCCCCCGTGGGAGAACCCTCCAAAACATCGTCCCCAGACCCCCCCAGGCCCTCCAAGATAGCCTGGAAGAGACCCCCCCCCCCAAATGAGACCCCCCTCCCTTTGTTACGAAATCTGGAGTACACAGGCCGGCACCTGCGCACGGGGCGAAAGGCTCGCGGTCCTGCGCCCGCAGTCGCGCGGGTGCCCCAAAGGGTCACCCGGCGGGCTCGGACGGCCACGCGAGACCATCGTGGATCTGGCTGTGGAGACCACCTGGTCGTCCCTGACAAAGAGGGGGTCCTCCCAGTCGCTGACGTGGGTCACGTGGTCACTGCACGCGCCGCTGTCCAAGGCAGGTGCTTGACCGCGTGGTCCACGCCCTTGCGCTACCTGCCAGAGGCAGCCCAGCATCTGCGGCATGGCAGTTGGATGAGGAGTGAGGAGTGAGGAGGAGGAGGAGGAGGAGGAGGAGGAGGAGACGCCCGACCTAAGCGTCGTGGCCACGCACGAACCGTCGGGACGGGAGCCCGATCGCGGGGTGATGGCGTGCATTCGGGATACAGTGGAGACCCATGCCAAGAAACACTGGAGGAGGCGGAGGAGGAGGAGGAGGAGGAGGAGGAGAAGGCGGAGGCGGAGGAGGAGGAGGAGGAGGAGGAGGAGGAGGAGGAGGAGAAGAAGGGGGAGGAGGGGGAGGAAAGACTGACGCGATCACCTCGAGCTGTGCTCCGGAGCATCTGGCGCACGGCTGCGCTGGACCAAGGGCGGAGCAAGTCGCACGCGCGCCCCGGCTCTTGCACGCAGGGAGGGCGAGGGCCGGGCGAGGCAGGGCGAGGCGGGGAGGGGCTCTCTTGGGCCTCGTGCTGGAGATCACTGGCGGGCAGCTTCTCGACGCTGCGGCAGTGTTCGTCTGCGTGGCCTCGTGCGGCAGCTTATCGATGCTGCGGCAACTTCTCGACACTGCGGTAACGTCCCGCTGGATCCACATGATATTGGCACGGGTGTTCTCTCGCTTCGAGGCGCACCGTTTGTTCTGATATGCACTCGCTTCATCGCCCGTTTGGGTCCGCCGAGCTGAATCTGACCCGCCGCGTCAACGACATCGTTCCGAGTGTTGTTCATGGCTTCTAGATCCGGATGAGGGTAAATCTAGATATTCGGATTCCTTATCCGACGTCAGCGCACAAATAAAATCGGCATCCCGCTCGCGCACGGTTCCCAGCTCATGAGATTCCGCGTCCTCCTCCTCGTGCTCCTCGTCCTGAACATCCCCTCCTGCCCCCCTCGGATCGGCGCGCCTGCTTCAGAAAGCCGTACACACGACAAAGCTCCTCGACATCCTCGGCAGTCAGAGGTAGGGGAGGGGAGGCAGGTACGGAGGAAGGGCATGGAACCCGAGGACGGAAGGGACGGGGTAGGGCGCGGACGGAAAAGGACGGGAGGGACGGAGAAGAAAAGGGGAGGGGAGGGAAGGGGGAAGGGAGAGGGAAACGATGGGGAAGAAAAGGGACAGGGGCGAGAAGGGAGAGTGGGGAACAGGAGGAGGAGGTCGAGCTGGGCAGGGGGCGACGAGGAGGAAAATAAATACAAGGGGAAGAGGAATGCGAGGGGGGAAGGCGAGGGTAGAGGAAGAGGAGGGAATGGGCAAGGTAGGTGCGCTCGCACCACATCTGACATCCTACCCCTCGCACCCATCCATTCTCACTGCGCCGGATGAATCATTCTGCGGACGCGCGTCCTTGCGACCTGGACCTCTGAGAGAGGCCCTATCGTGTGATGCGCAATCGGGAAAGGGGAGCCGAGGAGGGGGAGGAGAAGGCGCGGATGCGCAGGAGAATGAACAGGAGATGAAAGAAGAGGAGAAAGGAGGAGAGGAGGAGGAGGAGGAGGGGGAGGAGGAGGAGGAGGAAAAGGAAGAGGAGGAGGAGGACGAAGACGACGACGAGCAGCAGCAGCGGGAACTGGAGAGGAAGGAGCGGGAGACGCAAGAGGCCCAGGGCAAGGCAAAGGAGGGGAACGCAGAGGGACGACAACCATGAATCCGGAAAGTCGGCCCGCGCTGGAGCGAGAGCGACTGTGCCACCAATGCAGATCGAACACATCTACAACTACACACAGCAAAACTGCACCTTGTTGCGGGGACCAGGGGCGGCAATCATAATTCGATTTGGCGCGTCGGTCGGTCTGGGTGGACGGACACCGCCTCACGACCTACGATGGAAGGCGGCGGAGGATGCTCTGCCAGAGCATCCTCCGAGCCGATCAAAGGGTAGGCGGGCGACGCCGTGGCCTCCACATATAGCTATGTCGGCGGCGCCCGGTGGAGAGGGAAGCTTCCCCCCCCGAGGGTTGCTGATCCTGGGGGTCTCATCCTGGAGGCAGCGCCGGCGCAGGCCCGTGCGAAATCCCCTGGGATGCACAGAACCCCGTGGGACGCACCGCAGGTGCGGCCCCTGGTACGGCGCCCCCAACCTCCAGGCCAGGAACGCGCGGGAACGCCCAGGGAGCGCGTGCCAGCGTCCAGCGGCGGCGTCGTCGTCGCCGGCGGCGGCGTCGGCGGCGGCGGCGACGACGGCGACGATGACGGCGACATGCAGCCAGAGAGCTCTGGAGGCCCTTGGAACCCAGGGAAAATTCCATGGGCTCGACGGGTTCCTTGCGGGGGCCACCCTGGCTGGCAGGGCGCACCCCTCCCTGGGGCAGGCCCAGGGCGCTGCCGCGTGGCTCCAGGCGCCGCCCTGCGAGGCCACCACCGCATCCCCGCACGGCCTCGTGCATGTGGGCCTGCAGAGGCGGTTGCGAGTCCAGCTCCTGCAGGAAGAGTGCTCCTGCCCAGCCTGTGGCAAGGTGATGGACCTTTTCTGGGACCACGCCCCGGTCTGCGCCTGCCGCGCGACCGGACCAACCTAAACGCCACAACGCCCTGCGCAACCAAGCCTTATTCGACTCCCTGGCCGCGGGCCACGCCGGGGCGGAGTTGGAGCGCCCGGGGCTGCTACCCCCACGCCCCGCTGGGGAGGCCACCCCCGGGGGCGAGCAGGGCGGACCCCAGGTGGACGACAACTGCCGCCGCCCTGCCAACGTTTACTTGCCGGGGTGGCGCGGCCGCCTGGGACTTCGCCGCCACGTCAGGGTTGCGCGCCGATCTCCTCGCCCCGTCGGCCGCTGCGTGTAGCGCGGCGACGGAACGGCACGAGGAGTTCAAAGGCAGCATCAAGACACCGCGCGCCCGTGCGCGGCACAGGGCTTCACCTTCATCCCCACGGTGGTGGAAGCCCACGGCGGAGGGCGGGGCCGCGAGGCACGCAGGGCCTTCGGGGTCCTGGCCAAGCGGATAGCTGACGCCACGGGGGCAGACGCCTCACTGGTTGCGGACCAAAACGCCCAGCGACTTTCCGTCTCCCTGCACAGAAAGAACGCGCGGGCGGTGTTGCGGCGCCTCCAGACGCAGTCTGGACGGCGGGGGTGGCAGCGGCCCGCCTGGCCACGGCCACGGCTGCCTCCACGGCGGACGCCGTGTGAATACCCCCGGCGCTGCCTAGCGCCTCCCGTCCACCCCCCCGCCCTTGCTGGGCAGCACGGGCGCCCCCCGCGCCCTTTCGCCGGCGTCGCGCTGGCGACCCCTCACGCGTGCCGTCTGTCCTCGGCGGGGCGGCGCATGGATTTCGCAAAAAGGGCAATCCCCACCAAGCCGCAGCGTGCTGGGCTCGGTCGGCCACCCCGCCCAGGTCGCCGCCGTAGGGTCTGTAGCGTCGTCGCGGGTGGCTCTTCCCTCCCGGCCCTTGGCCCAGCCTGTCCGCTTGCGGTTGACTCCCCTCCCCTCCTCCTTGTCCTCTTCCTCACTCCCCTTCTGCTCGTTGTTTTTCTCCCTTTCCTTTAATCCTTCTCCCTGCCTGCTGTCTCCGCCTGGCCCCTTTTCTGCCTGTCCGCCCGCCCCGCCGGCCCTGGCCTCCACGTGGCCTCCAAGAGAGCTCAACATGGTCCGAGACGGTCCAAGAGCGATCCAAGACGCCAAAGATTGCCTCCAGACAGCCCAAAGCGCCTTCAAGAGGCCCGACCCAAGAGGCCTCCAAGAGACTTCCCAAGAGGGCCCACAGCGGCAGAAATGAGTGATTTCCCTAAGAGTTTCTGACAATTTTTGGCGTTCTCGCCTTTTCGGCTTGCCGACGCCCCAAAACAGCCCACGAAGCCTCCAAGAGGGCCCCAAGACGGCCCAAGGTGGCCCCAAGACAGCCCAAAAGGCGAGCCCCAAAACGGCCCCAAGAGGGGCCCAAGAAGAGGACCAGGAACCGAAAAGTCCAGCCTTCAGCCCAAAGAGGGCCCCCAGGAGGCCCCCACGAGGTCCCAAGGGGCCACCAAGGGGATCCCCAAGAAGCCCTTAGAGGCCCCCAAGAGGCCCCCAAGAGTTTTCAAAACTGCCTCCCAAAGGCCCCTGAGAGGCCAACCGCGAGAGCCCAACCAATATCCGTGAGGCCTCTGACCCGCCACCCACCGCCTCTGAAAAATGGCAGCCGCCCAACCGCACCGCATTGACAACAACACCTCGCCATACGACAGCGGCGAGGCAATATCTGGCGGAATGAGCGAAGTGATTGAATAAAGGTGAAAAAGAAGAGGAGTGGTGGTGGGCAACGCCCTGCAGGCTGCCCGCGGTCCAGTTTTCGCACCGTCTCCCCCTCAGGCCCAGGGATCGCCACCTCCCCTCCCTCATCCCTCCCTACCGCCCGCATCCCCCTCGCGTCTCCTCCCCATCCCCTCCTGATCCCCTCCTGGCCCCTAATCGCTCACCTCACCCTCCTCACCCCCGCCACCATCCCTCCTCCCTCATCCTCCCCTCCCCGCCTTCGCCCTCCCTCCCTCCCTCGCCCTCATCCTTCCTCGTCCCCTCCTTCCCCCGCCCTCATCCGTCCTGTCTCCTCCTCCCTTGCCAAGCCGCAGGGGCGGCCCCCAGATGGGCACTCAGACCCCTCCGCCCCGCTGCGCAAGGCCTGTCCTGGCACACCCATTCCGTGGGGAGCTGCGAGATGTCCACCGCCTCGGGCAGAAGCGGCCTGGCGGGCGAACTACAAAAAAAACTTAGCCTGACGAAGGACCCAACCATCAGCAGATGTGGATACCGCATTCTAGGTCCATCGTTCTATGAGGCCCTCGGTGGAGCTCCCTATGAGGCCACGGCCACGACCCATGTGAGGGGTGTGCCGAAATGGGGCGGGGCCGCCATGCAAACCCTGCCACCGGCTCCTTCTGTGGAGCTCCCTATGAGGCCACGAACCGTGTGAGGGTTGTGCCGAAATGGGGCGGGGCCGCCATACGAACCCTTCCACTGGCGCCCTCGGTGGAGCTCCCTATGGGCCCACGATCCCTGTGAGGGGAGCGCCGAAATGGGGCGGGGCCGCCATGCGAACCTTGCCACTGGCGCCTTCGGTGGAGCTCCCTTTGGGGCCACGATCCTCGTGAACGGTGCGCCAAATGGGCCAGAGGCCGCCATGCGAACCTTGCCACTGGCGCCTTCGGTGAAGCTCCCACGGGGCCACGATCCTCGTGAGGGGTGCCGAAATGGCACGAGGCCGTCATGCGAACCCTGCCGCTGGGGCATTCGGTGGAATTCCCTATGGGGCCACGATCCTCGTGAGGGGTGATGCCGAAATGGGCCCGAGGCCGTCATGCGAACCGTGCCACTGGCCCCTTCGATGGAGCTCCCCACGGGGCCACGATCCTCGTGAGGGGTGATGCCCAAATGGCCCGAGGCCGCCATGCGAACCCTGCCACTGAGGCCTTCGGTGGAGCTCCTATGGGGCCACGATCCTCGTGAGGGGTGTGCCCAAATGGCCCGAGGCCGCCATGCGAACCCTGCCACGGGGGCCGTCGGTGGAGCTCCCTATGGGGCCACGAGACGCTGCTCAGGGTGGGGGAAACGCAGGGAGGAGGGAGGAGGGGGAGGAGGAGGGATGAAACCGAGGACCCAACACCACAGCATGGTTGGGAAAAAAGGAAAAGGAGGAGAGGGGAATATCAAGAGGAGGGAAAAGGGAGGAGGAGGAGGAGAGGAGGAAGAGGAGGGAGGGGGGAGGAGATAAGTGATCAGGGGCGGGGAGGTGGAGAGGGAGGAGGAGAGGAAGAGGAGGAGGAGGAGGAGGAGGAGGACGCGGAGGAGGAGGAGGAGGTCAAGAGGATGGGAGAGAAGGACGAGGGGAAGATAGGAGGGCGCCAACCACAAGCTTCTACCGAAGCTGGCCAGGTCCATCCTGAGCCCAGGAGGGCCTGGCCATCGGAGCAGAGCACATACAGCATGCGTCGTGTGAGAGTCAGCCTCGTAGTGTGGGCCAGCGACGCAAAGGGAGCAGACGCGCAAGTCTCACCAGCCCCCTGGGCGCAGGTGACTTAGAGCGCTCCTTCGTCCAGCCTCCTGTTTTCCCTCTGGGGAGGAGTTGCTACGACCCCTCATCAAGAACCCCACCACCATCCCTGACAGAAAATAGGATAGAGCGCACGTGTCGGCAATATCTGGGCCATGAGCACAGTCCCGCGATCACTTCGCACTGATTGTTTTTTGACCGGGACGGCGGGCGTGCGAGCCAGTTTGTCCGCGGAGCACCTGCCCACTGCGCGCCCTGCTGCAGCGCAACTCCGTACACCGTGCTGGCTGACCCGCCGACGCTCGGCACTGGCAGGAATGGTGGGAGTGCCCGAGGTATTGCCCGAGGTGTGCTGCCACGGGCACTGGCGCACCTGCCGCCGCCTGGCGCACTCTGCGCGCTCCGCGCACGCGGCGCACCCGGCGCGGCTGGCCCGCTGTGCACCCTCGGCGCTCGTGGCGCACGAGGGTGCACCCGGCGCGCCTGGCACGCCGGGGCCTCTGTGTCACCTGGCGCACCTGCTGCTCGTGGCGCACCGTGAGCGCGCGGCGCACCTCGCGATGGTCGCGCACTTGGCGTTTGCGCTGGTTCCCGGTGGCTGTCCGTCCGACGGCGACCTCCGCCCATGCTGAGCCTCGGGTGCTGCACACACGGTGGGAGGACGGGTGGAAATGCGAGAGACAGCCGGTGCTGCTCTTGTTCGAAACTGGATCACTGTTCCCTATTAATGAACACGTCCTCCCCCAGGCGACCTGCAGCCAACCCAGACCAATGAGGGTCCCCCCCCCACCATCGCTGTCAAAAAATTCTCCTGGCGAAGGACCCAACCATAAGCAACTGTTCGTAACGCGTTGTGGGTGCCGCTTTCGGTGGGGCCCCCTATGGGGCCACGAAGCGCTGCCCAGGGCGGGGGAAACGCATGCGAGAGCAGCCACTGGGGCCTTCGGTGGAGCTCCCTATGGGGCCACGAAACGCTGCCCTGGGTGGAGGATCCGCATGCGAGAGCAACCACTGGGGCCTTCGGTGGAGCTCCCATTGGAGCTACGAAACGCTGCCCAGGGTGGGGGAAACGCATGCGAGAGCATGCGAGCTCCCTATGGGGCAACCACTGGGGCCTTCGGTGGAGCTCCCTCGGCTATGGGGAAACGCATGCGCAAAGGAGCCCTGGGCGGGGGGAACGCATGCGAGAGCAACCACTGGGGCCTTCGGTGGAGCTCCCTATGGGGAGCTGCCATACTGGGGGGAACGAAACGCTGCCCAGGGGGGAAACGCATGCGAGAGCAACCACTGGGGCCTTCGGTGGAGCTCCTATGGGGCCACGAAACGCTGCCCAGGGTGGGGGGGAAACGCCTTCGGTGGAGCTCCCTATGGGGCCACGACGCTGCCCAGGGTGGGGGAAACGCATGCGAGAGCAACCACTGGGGCCTTCGGTGGAGCTCCCTATGGGGCCACGAAACGCTGCCCAGGGTGGGGGAAACGCATGCGAGAGCAACCACTGGGGCCTTCGGTGGAGCTCCTATGGGGCCACGAAACGCTGCCCAGGGTGGGGGAAACGCATGCGAGAGCACCACTGGGGCCTTCGGTGGAGCTCCCTATGGGGCACGAAACGCTGCCCAGGGTGGGGGAAACGCATGCGAGAGCAACCACTGGGGCCTTCGGTGGAGCTCCCTAGGGGCCACGAAACGCTGCCCAGGGTGGGGGAAAACGCATGCGAGAGCAACCACTGGGCCTTCGGTGGAGCTCCCTATGGGGCCACGAAGCGCTGCCCAGGATGGGGGAAACGCATGCGAGAGCAACCACTGGGGCCTTCGGTGGAGCTCCCTATGGGGCCACGAAACGTTGCCCAGGGCGGGGGGACCGCATGCGAGAGCAGCCACTGGGGCCTTCGGTGGAGCTCCCTATGGGGCCACGAAACGCTGCCCAGGGTGGAGGAACCGCATGCGAGAGCAACCACTGGGGCCTTCTGTGGAGCTCCCTATGGGGCCACGAAACGCTGCCCAGGGTGGGGGAAACGCATGCGAGAGCAACCACTGGGGCCTTCGGTGGAGCTCCCTATGGGGCCACGAAACGCTGCTCAGGGTGGGGGAAACGCATGCGAGAGCAACCACTGGGGCCTTCGGTGGAGCTCCCTATGGGGCTAAGAAACGTGTGAGAGGTGTGCCTAGCACAAAGGCAAGGAAGGGGAGGAGAGAGGAGGGGGAGGAGGAGGAGGGAAGGAAGGAAGGAGGTGGGACGCGGGGCGCTGTCTCTTCAAAACGAGGACCCAACACCACAGGATGGTTGGGAACAATGTGAAGTCCACTTTGGGCCAAAACGTTGGGTCATCATCGGGGGGGCGCGAGCACTTTGTACTATTTCTTAACAGGAACGGCGGGGGTGCCCGCATATTGCCTGCTGCGCGCAGGGCCAGCATCCCTGACACAGAACAAGACAAAATGCACTTCGAGACAAACAAAAATCATGCGCGGGCACCCTCCGATCACTGCGCATTGGCTTTTGAAGAGGACGGCGCGGATGCTGGCACATTGCCTGCTATGTGCAGGCCCACCAGCAAAAAACTACTGCTGAACACGCTGCGGCTCCGGGTGTTACTGATGTGTTGGGAGTGCGGGTGGGAGTGAGCGAGACGGCCTGCGGGCGGGAAGAGTGTCTTGACCCCCCCCTACCCACTCCGGGTGTTCTGGAAGGGGGGAGGCGAGCGGTGAGAGGTCCAGTTTGCCCAAGATGGCTCCAATATCGAGCCGCATAACCCAAGATGGCCTCCAAGATCACACAAGATATCCCAAGATGACTCAAGATGACTTCAAGCATGCCTTCGATCGGCCACAAGATGGACCCAAGAGAGCACCAATCTGGCCCCGATGCGCCACCGTTCTCCCTCGCACGCTGGGGCATGGCAGAATGCCAAGTGCTGCATGGTAGGGTCTTCGCCTCCTCGCACGGGGCTCTCCCCTCCCCTCCCCTCTGCTCGCCTACCCGTGCGTGACCCTCCCTCCCCGAGGTCACGATCCGTCGTCCAGATCATCCTGGCGAACGCCCAACCAGATGAGGCTGCGGGCTCCGCGAGGCAGGCGAGAAGGAGCAGGGGGGGAGGAGCGAAACATATGCCGAGATCGGGCGGGTGCGCCATGCGGACCCTGCCGCTCGGGCCTCGCATGGAGCTCCCAAGAGGGCCACGGCATGTGTAAGCCAGATGCGGGTGCGCCATGCGGACCCTGCCGCTGGAGCCTTCGGTGGAGCTCCCCATAGGCCCACGAAACGTGCGAAGGGTGTGCTAAATTGGGTGTGCTCACGCCATGCGGACCCTGCCGCTGGGGCCTTCGGTGGAGCTCCCTATGGGGCCACGGAACGTGTGACGGTTGTGCTGAATCGGGCGCGGGTGCGCCATGCGGACCCTGTCACTGGGGTGGAACTCCCGATGGGGCCACGAACCGTGTTAGGGGTGTGCCAAAGTGGGCGTCGGGCGCATGCGGACCCTGCCACTGGGGCCTTCGGTGGACCTCTCTACGAGGCCACGAACCGTGTGAAGGGCGTGCTTGAATGGGCGTCGGGCTCAAGCGGGTGGACCTCTCTACGGGGCCACGAACCGCGCAAATGGAACTCCAATGGGGGGCACAAACCGTGTGGAATGTTTGCCAAATTGGGCGTCGGGCGCATACGGACCCTGTCACTGGGGCCTTCGGTGGAGCCCTATG